ATCGCATGCCAATGTGCATTGGCTCGTTTAGTTTACACTCGAAGTAGATTGGTCTCTCTAAGCGAGATCCCAATTCCCAATGCGTCGGTCATCCGACGTGACGTCGGGAGTGACCGACTGAAAGGGAAAGCATCTTTAATCATGTTGAATTAAAAAATATATACAGGATATTTTACATTCATTATTTTAAAGAAATAGTCATTTTTCCTTCTAATATTAGAAGGAAAACTTATTATTTCTTTAAAATAATTAATGTAAAATATATATTTTTTTAATTCAGTATAAAAAAGTAAATAAGAAATGCAGTCATACAGAAAGTCACAATTATGAGAAATAAAATTGTAAATACTTCCATTTTCTTACTCTGGAACAGAGTACTTAAACTTAAACTTATTTAATGAAACATGAAAGAACACCATTTTTCCTTTAAAGTAACATAACAAGGGGAAAAATCCTTTAAAATAATAAATAAAAGTATTATTATTTTTTATTTAATTTTTAATTTTTCAATTATTTATTTATGTATGTATTTTAATTATTACATTTTTTTATTAATATTTTAATAATTAAAAGAAAATGCAGTCATACATAGTCACAATTATGAGAAATAAAGTCGCAGTTTCATTTTTCTTACTTTGGGGCAGAAACAGGCTTCCATGATATATTTTGATAAAACATGAACAAAATAAAAATCCTTTAAAGTAACATGCACATTTATTTCAAAGACAGGAACATTTATTTTAAATAAATTGTTATTGTTTTTAAATATGGAAGGAGGAAAAAAAACACTTGAAAAACAGATTGAGAGAAAGAAAAGTAACTCCGTAAGATCACCTGAGGGCCAAACAAAACAAAAACATCAAGTAGAGAGGACCTGACTGTAAACAAGTAGGAAAGAGCATTTCGGTGGAGGTGAGGAGGTTGCAGGATTGTTTATCAGAAAGAAAAAAGCAGAGGTGGAGGGGGAAGGTATGAGTAGTTCTCGACGTATTACCCTAAGAAGTCGACTTGTCCGAGGAGGAGCTATCAATTTGAATGACTCGTCCCCCCGAGGGCCTGTTTTGGCATTCAGCTGCCACATCAGGGGGCTCTTAGTCTGTCAGGACCCCCGCCTCCTCAGCCGGAGACCCTCCATTCGGGCTCTGCTGGCTCTTATTAAAACCTGTGGCTTAGCGAGCAATGGGCTGCTACACTGCCATTACCGACCGGTATATTGCCCCCGGTTTCAAAAAACCACACACTGTTCCCCGAGCCTGGAGGAGACGAGCCACCTCAGGGCAAATGTACTTGCACAGAGAGCGGGAGTGAGAGGAGACGAGAGAGAAAGTCACGGTGAAATAGAGAAAGAAAAGAGACAAAGACGACTGGGGTGTGTTGATGCACATCTGTGCTTGAGTCTTTGAATGAGCATGTTTGTGTCACAGACTGAACACCAGGCAAACAAGGTCAGTTGGATAGGAGATATCACAATGCTCAACATGGCAGTTGTCAGAGAAGCCTTGAAGTTACGTATAAGTTACAAAGGAATATTATAGGTTAAATATGCATGTACAGAAATGCACTTGCAGTGGTAGATAATGCGGCAAGTATGGTACACTTAGTTTGTTGTTGTTATTATTATAAATACAAACTGCAAGTCAAAAATTAGTTTACCTTTTTTTTTAATATTGCTGGTTAAACAGAAATAGCACTGTGTGAATGTTTATT